TGTTTACAAGCCTTGCATTGTTATATTTATTGTGAGTTTCGTCGTTTTGAAACAGAAGATGCTTTCTCTTCCGGAAAACCTGGTCTTATCGTCTTTGTACATTTTCAGAAGTCTTTATGTAAATCTCTCTTTTGTTTAAATTTTGTTCTGTTTTTATTGAATCTGGATTAAGATACTGTTAACTTATCATTTTTTGTGTTATTTTGAGTTATTGTATGTGGATGTCCTATACCGTATCAAACTACACTGCATATGTCATGTTTTACATAAACTGGTGATAGATGTGCTGCACTTTCCCCAGAATTTAACATCAACCTAATTAAAAGTGGCGTAGTATGGTATACTTGTACAATAAAACATAAGAGTTTTTGTAGAATGAGATCTGTTGATGTTTAGTGATTTTATTTTGATCAATTCTTAAACTGTGGTATATAATTCAAACTAGTTATCCTTATCAGTAGGTTAGTGACGTCACATTTACGTTTATTATGGACAAAAAACACTCCTAATTCTTGTTTGTTGATAAGGATTTTCCTCGAATAACAACCGTTTGGTTTTATTTTCAACCCGAATGTACGAATTGCGCGGAGAAATAAAGATGTCAACATGTATTGAAAAACAAAAGTGTCACAAATTCTCGCACTACCACCACCCAGGTGCCTTGTAGGAAAACAACAACAGGTGACCAGAGGAAATGGTTTGAAACCGATAACACCAATTACCAAACGTAATGAGAGCGTGTACATGACGCACGTTTACACTCTAATAATTTATTTAATACGTAGCCACTTAACGTTCATTGTCCTGGTACGGTAAACTCTGAGGTGGACAATCGCGCGCTACGTTGACTGACCAATATCATGAGATCGGCCAAATTCCTTCGATTTTTTATTGGATCAGAATGACGAAGCGATTGAGAGTCGAAATATACAAATAATCACGTTTTACAATTTTTATTGACAACCGCTGGCGCCATTTGTTGTGTTGTCGCTACCTTCAACATGATAAACACACCATTTTATAAATATCGAGGGTGATTCATATACGTCCCTGAAAATACATAAATTATTAAAATACTTCAAAAAATGATATGTTATCTTCCTCCCTTTTTTTCTCAAACAAGTTAGTGTATACCTTGTGCTAGGATTAGTTTGTTACATGCAATTTGTTTTCTTGGTCTTTGGAGTTAACCATGGCAACTCACAATTGTAGTATTTTCATTTATTTGTAATTACAAACATTTGAATACGCTAATTGGTAATCTCTACCCGACAGTGACAAGGTACGATACAATGTATATCATTATCATTCTAAATATAAGCGACAAGAAAATGCCACCATGCCAACATTGTCATCATCCAAAGTTCAATTAAACTGGGGCAAAATATGAACAAAACAAAGATTTACATGGTGATTCCTGAATTACTATATTAACACACAATTCTCTCTCTCTCTCTCTCTCTCTCTCTCTCTCTCTCTCTCTCTCTCTCTCTCTCTCTCTCTCTCTCTCTCTTGCCAGAATTTAAACCTCTTACATCATTGCCGAGTCCAAGAAGGAAGGATGATACATCAACATGGTGTACATTTACTGTATCTGTCAATCGGGGTATATGTAAACGCACTATGAACTTGTTAATTCCCTTAAGTGCTTTATTTTATGTTGATTGCAATCAACAATATTATAAATTACGAGAAAACTTAGTTTTACGAGCTAACAGAAAACCAAAGGAGTCACTTACTTGGTAGCCGACAGTTGTCTATTTGTAAAATAAAGTGCAATGTTTTTTTTGTATTTTCCTCACTTTTTACACGATCAGCAGAGACACTGCCAAGAATATACATCACCGGAAGAACTGATTAATCTCTGTCATCCCTTATTGGTTTTTAAAGTCACGAGTTAATCATGGGAAGTATGTGTAGAGGTAAACAATTCAAAGAGCTGTTGCAACGGATAACTTTTTTCCAATAAGTATAAACAGTCATGATTTTGTTTCATTTTATTTATAAAAAAAAATTGATATGCCGATGGGCCATTCTTAAGATAATTCAGTACATTATTATACAGTTTGACAGAATACACTGAGAGGCATCCTAATCTCAATGACGTTGGGACATCGACCTGGACGCGCCATAGGGTTAGGATTCTTTATTTTCTGGATCTCTTGATAAATAATAATTCATTAGGAATGCGTGTGAGTTTTGATACATACCATAAAGACGTGTTCAGTCATTCAATATATAAAACTCTAGATCTGTAAATATATAACAGACTATATATATTTACTTCTTCTTTCGTTTGAGGTCTGCAAGTGGCTTTCGAAATGACTTTAAAAGTCTGACATCTAGCTTGATGGAAGAAGATTTAATAAGTTTTTTACCTATTAATAACATAACTTATAAATATGATAATCTACTACGAATCTGAAATATATTACAAACTAAACGTGAAAATGCCAGGACCCAGGTTTATTAACAAACATACCTTGAATATAAACTGCAAATTAATCACGCTGAAACGTATTTCTAGAAATAGGAATAAACTTTTAATGTTTATAAGTTTCAAAAGTGATTATTTTTTTTTATTCCAGGACATAACTATTAATCTTCACGTCTGTAAGTATTTAGATGATATCGCTTACTTTATAAAGCTGAAGGTAATAAATGTGTCTTGTATGTCGAGCTTTGAAGTTTTAGAATGTTTTAAATGTCATCTATAAAATTCTTTATCGTATCCTGTTTGAAGTGTGATACGTTTTACAGTGTATCTCTCTAACAAAGATGTTCATATGCATATTAAGGTAAGAAATGCTATTTTTCATTCAGATACAAAATACGTGTAGTGGCACATTCTATTGAATGACGTGTACGTTGTTTTTATTGCTGGTTTATTGTCAGGCGATATTTTATCCCTATGTTTTTGTTCAATGTGAATTCTTAATCAAATGTTTGTTGCGTATCCAAGATTGTATAAAGGACACACAACTGCCTTAACACCTTTTAATACAAAAGAGTTAGATAAAGTAGAACCAAATAATTAATTAACTGCATCACACAGCTGTTTTGTCCTTCTAAGACTCGTCAGTGATGTTAAGGGTAACAATTATGAAGCCTAAGAGGCGACTAAGGAAAATCCAATGTGATCGGAAGAAAAGTTCAAAACTGGATTGGGGTGTGGATGGAGTGGATGTACTAGCCCCATGATTCAATAAATTTCGTAATTTTCGTATCTGATCATCTAGAAAGATATATAATGATTAGAGAATGTTTACAGCTGCAAACTGTCCGATACAAATATAATGGGATATAGAAATGTGTAGCTCAAATTAACCGATTTCCCACAAATATATATTGTCTTGATTATAAACTTTGTAGGTAAAATAATGCAAATTCTAAGCATTAACACAAAGTTATTCAAAACACGGAAAAAGGTAAATGCAGACCAGAGAAAACAGTTAAACAGGTAAAAGATATTCTCTAGACAGAAATGAATTAGTTAAGGTTACAAATATAACAGAATATAATTAGGGGAATTCAGAATTAAGAAATAGGAAGTTTAGAACACGGCAAAGAGTGATGAAATTAAGTATACATACTGTAAAGTTGGACTGATTAACTGTTACGTCAAAAACCGAATTTAAAGAAATTGTATAAGATATTGATAGGTGAACAGGCATAATTAGTAGCCATGTTATTTTATCTATTAAGATGCTTTGCAATCAACAAATCCTGCTAACATGAATTCAATATCATCATTCATCTATCAATCAAAATACGTTGAAAACCTATATAACATAGAAATAAATGATCACGTGCTAATAGATTGATTTATCAAATATTCATACTATAAATATATTTGTATGTTATTGTAGGTATTATTGTATTTGAAGTACTATCGTCCATGTCAACATTTTTTATTTCTTGTGAATTCGTGGATAACGAGTACGCACGAAATCAACGGAAATAAATCCCCCACGAAAATCAGTGATTATACAGTATGTACCACTAAGTCATACACAAAATTTACATTTTCCATATTTTCATTTTAATGCAGATATTAACAACCTACTGTTATTTTCTTCTGCTAAATTAGGTAAACAACCCCACTGTAATAACATTTAAATTCAAAACCAAATGTAAAGAGTTGCTAAATATATGTATTCAAACATTTAGGTATATTCAAGTAATAAACAAATTTTGTTTTTACTCTCATTAAAGGACACTTTAGAACACATTTTAGTTGTTATGAAACAGTTGTACGGTATAAATGTATACATATTGTGATAATTTACTTCCAGCCTCCTAAATCTTATACAAACGGGAACACACGTGTAATTACAGTATATTTACATAATTTTCAAGTTTTAACTGACATGTCGATATGCTTCAATAATATTCTGAAGGTCAACAAACAGGAATAACTCGTTTCTATTCAAATGTATAATTTGTAACTAGTTTTTTTTTCTATAGTGGGATTTATAGGAAGCTCAGCTAACGTCTAGAATTGATCTGTCGCTTTGAGAAGGATGACTGCTTCGTTATCAATCAACTACTTACTCGGTTATCTGGGATTCTTCGACAGGTGAAAAAAAAGGTGTTGAAAAGCCGAGAGAAAATCAACACACGCTCTAGTCAACATTCAGTGTGTGTGTGTGTTCGTCTTCACAGGTGAAAATTTACTATTTTACCTGTATTGCATATGCAGCGGATGTTTAATACACGTGTCTTAAGATTTATTTACAGTGTTTGAAATGAACTGCGGACACAGGTAATTACAATGACTTCAACTGTTATTAATATTTTAAATGTCGATTATTCAATTAGTTTTAACCTTAGTATCATAAGGGGATACTAGGTCTTTCTACCTGTCTATTTCTCTAACAGATAGATATTTACGTATGTAATATGTGCATATTTATGTATGTTTCAGAGACACTGTTGATTGACTGGTCAAAACATTGAAATATCAAACTATAGAAACAACATTTTGATTTCTGGCAAAGATGAAGGAATATAGAGTGCCAACGTTGGCTGTCATCGAGGAAATACCAGCTACAGAGAGTTACGAGAATAGTCGCCTGGCTCCAGTTGTGACAAAAAAGGAAACAGAGGAAAAAGACTTCGAGGAATCTGTCAACAATAATGAAAATAAAACAATAAATACGGACCTCCATGAACACAATGATATTGATAAATGTGATAAATGCGGCACAGAAAATGACAATGATCTTGGAACATTAAAAGAAAAAGCGGCGAAACTAAAGCTGAAAACCCGGCGATCTAGTTACGTCACCTGGGAAACTGAGAAATTAGTTCGGTCCGGTGCACTATTTAAGGCAAAGGTACAACAAGAGGTGGTCAACGATGACCAAACGCTGACCCCTGAACGTAAGGACAAGATCAACAGTGATATAGGGTGGATCCGACGAGAATTGGTTCGTATCAGTTTGGTTACTGCAGATTGTTTAACATTCAAAAAGTCAAAAAAAAAACATAGCAACATCTTTTTTTTAACATTTATTTCCAAAGAAGTAAAATATAAACAAAGCGTATCAATTATCATAGCGATTAACTTTAACCGCGGTCGGATCTTATTTTTTTTTTTTTCTATCGAAATTTATTAGACGATTGGACAAGGCGTGAACTGTCCCAATTTTTAATGCGATGTAGAATTAGATCTAGTGCAGCTAAACAAAGAATTAAACTGTAACATGCAGTTGTTTTGTCCTTCTGTGATTCGTCAGTGATTCTTAAGGCCTGAAATTTGAAGCTATCTGGCGACCGAGGAAAATCCAAAGTGATCGAAAGAAAAAAAATCTAGATTGGGGTGATCTACCTGAGGAGGTCCACCAGCAATGTTACTCAATACATTTCATGATTTTCATTAATTTGGTAATTTAATAGCAAACCTAGGTAAGAAGGTAAAATGTCAATTTTCGGTGTGATAGAAGTTGCATGTAAATAACAGTAGAGTATATAGGAAAGTAAACTAATATGGATAAGTTGATAAGATAAAGTACGCGCCGGTCGAATCACCTGAAGTAACTGATGATCAAAACATAGTGAATAGACAATATATAGACTTTTGTAGTCAGTCATTAATGTCGTGTGTTGGTATGTCAAAACAAGTTATAGCTAGCATACCATCTCGTTTTTATACACATTTTGTCACTTCAAGTTGTTTACCTATCTCTGATTGATGTAGAGAGGTCCTTTATTTAGAGTCAGAAAAACACAGAAATCGTGATAAAAGTACGTCGTCTTAAACGAAAAGAGTAATCAAAAACAGAGCAGGTTTGTTTATATATCGAAATAACGAAGTGCAAGGTAATTTTTTGTTAACTTCCCCGAATTATGTCACCTATATCGTATATTCTATTGAAACTTTTTCTACGATATAAATAACTTATTGTCCTAGTATTGTCTTTCTTAATGTGCAAAGGATTAAAGTACAGCTAGAAAAGTTTGCCGATTCCCTACCATCTCGTACACTACGTACGTCAGTGCTAGTACGCTCCACACTGGTCATTTGTCTATTGAAGGTGACTCTGTAGATCTCGTACACTGCGTACGTCAGTGCTAGTACGCTCCATACTGGTCATTTGTCTAATGAAGGTGACTGTGTAGATCTCGTCCACTACGGACGTCAGTGAAGGTACGCTCCACACTGGTCATTTGTCTAATGAAGGTGACTGTGTAGATCTCGTACACTGCGTACGTCAGTGCTAGTACGCTCCACACTGGTCATTTTTCTAATGAATGTGACTGTGTAGATCTCGCACACTGCGTACGTCAGTGCAAGTACGCTCCATACTGGTCATTTGTCTATTGAAGGTGACTCTGTAGATCTCGTACACTGCGTACGTCAGCGCTAGTACGCTCCATACTGGTCATTTGTCTAATGAAGGTGACTGTGTAGATCTCGCACACTGCGTACGTCAGTGCTAGTACGCTCCACACTGGTCATTTGTCTAATGAAGGTGACTTTATAGTCAACGAAACGTCAGGCTAAAATCTTCTACTGGTTGTGTTATAAAAAACATCTATTCTATTAATATTACCAACCTGATGAAAATGTTCCGAAATGTATCCTGCTATCAATTTATATTCAATAAATCATTATTCAACAGTAGACACACAATTCTATTCAGTTTCACAAAACGATAAGTAATATTATTTAAATAATTTATTTTATTCTTGAGAACAAGTTATCGACCTCATTGAAGAGTAGATACTACATAGTCACATACAAATATATATATAATTACATCTCTGTATTAAAATAACACAATGAACATATTAAAATAGTAATACTGTTAGGGTACACCATCAACAGGTCAGACACTATCCTGTCTATAATATCTCTCTCCTCCTCAATTCATGAGTTAACATTTGCAAATCGCGTACACCATGTACGATACTTAAATTAATTCAAATTATTCATTCCTTTGGCCTTTCGGCCATTCAGATTTTTTACAACATAATTTATAAACTTATCTGGAAAACTGTTTTTTAATGTCGCACACTGAGCGATGTCTCTCCAAGCTGTTACAAAATCAGTAGCGTTAATTTGTTGTTTAGACACCACGTAGGTGACAAGATGGCGTACATGCTATTTTGACATTTCCACTTCGTATAAGAGGAATGTTTTAAGCTAGGAAAGTTTGAAAGTGCGTGTATATAATTATCGTTGAACTGTTGTGATATCTGGAGTCAAAACGGTACAGCACGACAGTTTAATGTTTAGACTTACATAACCTACACATGTTGAAATAGATCAAGCATTTATTACCGACGATGTAATCCGTCAGTTAGAACAGCCATTTTGACAGTGAGGCTTAGTCGTTTCCATTTACACAAAAATCAATGATCAGGCGGTATATGTCATTTGTCTTACCATAAACGATACCTCTCTCGTGTGTTTACCGTAAAATCATTAATTTTCGTGGGATATTTATTTCAACGAATTAAAATTCCCGAGAAGTCTTAAAATACGTATCAGCGGAATTAGTTCAGATACATGTACATTAATCCTCGAAATATCGCGTCCACGAAAAAACATTTTTTTAACTACGAAAATTTAATCCCACGAAAATATATGAATTTAAAACATGTCGTGGTATTACAAGACGAGTAATATAAGTGATGTACAAAAAATTGCACTCTGCGTTAATGATCAGAAAACTTATATTGAAAACATCACCTTATGATACAAATTTAAATGCAAAGAAATATTAACAGGAAATAACTGAAATGCAAAATCAATATCTTGACTTTTGTATCCATATATGGTATATAATTTAGGATGTGCCTTTAACGCGTTTTCATTTCTGATGAAATTTTATAAAACGAGTCTTATATACTTTCTTTTTTATGTTTTCAAATCTCGAAACGATTTTCCAAACATCGCATATGCAATAACCATAATCAAAGATTGTTTTTTATCAAATGAATCAGGAAAGTAAGATTTTGATAGGTTTAGAAAAGTAAAACTATCGAAGACAAACAAAAACAAAGACAGCCATTTTTTTAATTGATGACGTAACTTCATTGTTTATATTATGACATCATAATGGATTCCTGACGGGCACAACCGATGAAAAATGCCTCTGTCCTATAGTGATATATGTAAAGATATACCATGGTCCAATCACCTTGATGACAGGCGAATTTTAAGATCATATCGACTGTGTAAGTGATTTTTTTAGGACATAACTGTTTGTTATATTGATAATGTAATATTGTAAACCTGCGTGACAATATAGTGTAGCATTCAGCATTTATCTCTCTATTCTGATCAAACTCTGCATTGAAACATGCCCTCACATTATATCTGTCAACTGATAACCAAAGTGTTTGTTGTATTATATACAATTGGAGATCGGCCACTAGCAAAATGCACATGCTGAAATACATCTGTTTTTAGTGTCTGGTCTTTATTTCACCAATGAAGTGAATGACTGTCACAACTCACTCATTCATTAGATTACGTAATCTTGAAGTGATATTTAAATTTCTATCACGTTATATGAAAAAAGTCTAAAGCATTTAAGCAAAAACAAAAATAAAAACCTACATCCTGCGTGCCGTACATCATGAACTACATCTCTTCTCACACACGTAACAGAATTAAATCGTGGGAAAATCATTCAATGATCTGTTCTTATGTAAACAAGATCACGTGACAAACCAAATCACCTCTGATTCATTACGTATAGTTTTCACATGTGTTATTTGTATCAACGTATACATTTTAAATACAAATTGTTTAAATATATTATTCTCTTTAACAGCATGCCATGAGAATATTGGATCAAAATCTGGCTAAAAAACTTCTGAACCTGCGCCATGAAATGCATTCGTTGAAATTGAAATGGAGTTGTGATGATCACAAGGAGATGATGGAGGAAGTGACGTGTGATTTGGAGGAACGTCAGGTTCTTCAAGACGTTTGTGACCAGCCACTAGGCCCAATAGATATCAATCCGCTCAAACAACTCGGTGTGACGCGGATGAATTTAAGCGCACGGAGATTCAGCACGTGCTGACCATATACTGAAAACAGAACAATGAAAATATTGCATTGGGAAACACGTATCCAGGTGCCTGTATAACACAATATATCATTGATAGCTAGGATTTTATGAACGGGATGATCCTGAATGTGTCATACTGTGTTTATTTGTTTACGATGCTGTTGGTTTTTGGTAGGATAAGGACTACTTACCGTGAGACGTGTACAGATGACGATGAATTGACATTTACTCTGCAGTGGTGAAAACATCATTGTTTTCAAACATTTACTCATTTTCTTATATGAATACTGAGTGGTTCCGTGATGTAGTTATGTGTGATTTTGGTCACAATGAAAAGGAAACAAAAAAATCTTTTTAAATGGACGAAAACAACTATAATGATAATAACTATATCAGAATTTGTACGTTTTCTCACATTAAAAAATTGTTTAGAATATATATGCTTGAATTTCGAAAACTTCTGAAATAAAAAGGCTTTGATATTCCTCCTCTATTTATTTTCACTTTCCCTTGTTTGTATAATTGATGCCAGAGTGACGTATTTAAAGTTGAGACGATGCTGTTTAATGATTCGTTTTTGTGTGTTGAAATTTAATCGTTACTGGTTCTTAAGTGTCTTTTGTAAATTTTGTCTTCATTTATTAGCGTTACATAATTTTGTCTCTGTTTATACGTTATGGTGTATTTTGTCTATGTTTATACCTTATGGTGTCTTTTGTCTCTGTTTATACGTTATGGTGTATTTTGTCTCTGTTTATACGTTATGGTGTATTTTGTCTTTGTTAATACATTATGGTGTATCTTGTCTCTGTTTATACGTTATGGTATATTTTGTCTCTGTTTATACGTTATGGTATATTTTGTCTCTGTTTATACGTTATGGTATATTTTGTCTCTGTTTATACGTTATGGTGTATTTTGTCTCTGTTTATACGTTATGGTGTATTTTGTCTCTGTTTATACGTTATGGTGTATTTGGTCTCTGTTTATACGTTATGGTGTATTTTGTCTCTGTTTATACGTTATGGTATATTTTGTCTCTGTTTATACGTTATGGTGTATTTTGTCTCTGTTTATACGTTATGGTGTATTTTGTCTCTGTTTATACGTTATCGTGTATTTTGTCTCTGTTTATACGTTATGGTGTGTTTTGTCTCTGTTTATACGTTATGGTGTATTTTGTCCCTGTTTATACGTTATGGTGTATTTTGTCTCTGTTTATACGTTATGGTGTATTTTGTCTCTGTTTATACGTTATGGTGTATTTTGTCTCTGTTTATACGTTATGGTGTATTTTGTCTCTGTTTATACGTTATGGTGTATTTTGTCTCTGTTTATACGTTATGGTGTATTTTGTCTCTGTTTATTCGTTTTGCTGTATTGTGTCTCTGTTTATACGTTATCATGTATTTTGTCTCTGTTTATACGTTATCGTATATTTTGTCTCTGTTTATACGTTATGGTGTATTTTGTCTCTGTTTATACGTTATGGTGTATTTTGTCTCTGTTTATACGTTATGGTGTATTTTGTCTCTGTTTATACCTTATGGTGTCTTTTGTCTCTGTTTATACGTTATGGTATATTTTGTCTCTGTTTATACGTTATGGTATATTTTGTCTCTGTTTATACGTTATGGTATATTTTGTCTCTGTTTATACGTTATGGTGTATTTTGTCTCTGTTTATACGTTATGGTGTATTTTGTCTCTGTTTATACGTTATGGTGTATTTTGTCTCTGTTTATACGTTATGGTGTATTTTGTCTCTGTTTATACGTTATCATGTATTTTGTCTCTGTTTATACGTTATGGTGTATTTTGTCTCTGTTTATACGTTATGGTGTATTTTGTCTCTGTTTATACGTTATGGTGTATTTGGTCTCTGTTGATACGTTATCGTGTATTTTGTCTCTGTTTATACGTTATGGTGTATTTTGTCTCTGTTTATACGTTATGGTGTATTTTGTCTCTGTTTATACGTTATGGTGTATTTTGTCTCTGTTTATACGTTATGGTGTATTTTGTCTCTGTTTATACGTTATGGTGTATTTTGTCTCTGTTTATACGTTATGGTGTATTTTGTCTCTGTTTATACGTTATCGTGTATTTTGTCTCTGTTTATACGTTATGGTGTATTTTGTCTCTGTTTATACGTTATGGTGTATTTTGTCTCTGTTTATACGTTATGGTGTATTTTGTCTCTGTTTATACGTTATGGTGTATTTTGTCTCTGTTTATACGTTATGGTGTATTTTGTCTCTGTTTATACGTTATGGTGTATTTTGTCTCTGTTTATACGTTATGGTGTATTTGGTCTCTGTTTATACGTTATGGTGTATTTTGTCTCTGTTTATACGTTATGGTGTATTTTGTCTCTGTTTATACGTTATGGTGTATTTTGTCTCTGTTTATACGTTATGGTGTATTTTGTCTCTGTTGATACGTTATCGTGTATTTGGTCTCTGTTTATACGTTATGGTATATTTTGTCTCTGTTTATACGTTATGGTGTATTTGGCTCTATTTATACGTTATGGTGTATTTTGTCTCTGTTTATACGTTATGGTGTATTTTGTCTCTGTTTATACGTTATGGTGTATTTTGTCTCTGTTTATACGTTATGGTGTATTTTGTCTCTGTTTATACGTTATGGTGTATTTTGTCTCTGTTTATACATTATGGTGTATTTTGTCTCTGTTTATACGTTATGGTGTATTTTGTCTTTGTGTTTAGCATTATGGTGTATTTTGTCTTTGTTATGGTGTATTTTGTCTCTGTTTATACGTTATGGTGTATTTTGTCTCTGTTTATACGTTACGTGTATTTTGTATTTGTGTATTGTATTTTGTTGTATTTTGTCTTTGTTTATACGTTATGGTGTATTTTGTCTCTGTTTATACGTTATGGTGTATTTTGTCTCTGTTTATACGTTATGGTGTATTTTGTCTCTGTTTATACGTTATGGTGTATTTGGTCTCTGTTTATACGTTATGGTGTATTTTGTCTCTGTTTATACGTTATGGTGTATTTTGTCTCTGTTTATACGTTATGGTGTATTTTGTCTCTGTTTATACGTTATGGTGTATTTTGTCTCTGTTTATACGTTATGGTGTATTTTGTCTTTGTGTTTACCATCATGGTGTATTTTGTCTTTGTGTTTAGCGTTGTGGTGTATTTTGTCTCTGTTTATACGTTATGGTGTATTTTGTCTCTGTTTATACGTTATGGTGTATTTTGTCTCTGTTTATACGTTATGGTGTATTTTGTCCCTGTTTATACGTTATGGTGTATTTTGTCTCTGTTTATACGTTATGGTGTATTTTGTCTCTGTTTATACGTCATGGAGTATTTTGTCTCTGTTTATACGTTATGGTGTATTTTGTCTTTGTTAATACATTATGGTGTATTTTGTCTTTGTTTATACGTTATGGTGTATTTTGTCTATGTTTATACGTTATGGTGTATCTTGTCTCTGTTTATACGTTATGGTGTATTTTGTCTCTGTTTATACGTTATGGTGTATTTTGTCTCTGTTTATACGTTATGGTGTATTTTGTCTTTGTTTATACGTCATGGTGTATTTTGTCTCTGTTTATCCGTTATGGTGTATTTTGTCTTTGTAAATACATTATGGTGTATTTTTGTCTTTGTTTATACGTTATGGTGTATTTTGTCTCTGTTTATACGTTATGGTGTATTTTGTCTTTGTTTTTATACGTTATGGTGTATTTTGTCTTTGTGTTTAGCGTTATGGTGTATTTTGTCTCTGTTTATACGTTATCATGTATTTTGTCTCTGTTTATACGTTATGGTGTATTTTGTCTCTGTTTATACGTTATGGTGTATATTGTCTCTGTTTATACGTTATGGTGTGTTTTGTCTCTGTTTATACGTTATCGTGTATTTGGTCTCTGTTTATACGTTATGGTGTATTTTGTCTTTGTGTTTAGCATTATGGTGTATTTGGTCTTTGTCTTTAGCGTTATGGTGTGTTTTGTCTCTGTTGATATGTTATGGTGTATTTTGTCTTTGTGTTTAACGTTATGGTGTATTTTGTCTTTGTCTTTAGCTTTATGGTGTATTTTGTCTCTGTTTATACGTTATGGTGTATTTTGTATTTGTTTATACGTTATGGTGTATTTTGTCTTTGTGTTTAGCATTATGGTGTATTTTGTCTTTGTGTTTAGCGTTATGGTATATTTTGTCTTTATTTATACGTTATGGTGTATTTTGTCTCTGTTTATACGTTATGGTGTGTTTTGTCTCTGTTTATACGTTATGGTGTATTTTGTCTCTGTTTATACGTTATGGTGTATCTTGTCTCTGTTTATACGTTATGGTGTATTTTGTCTCTGTTGATACGTTATGGTGTATTTTGTCTTTGTTAATACATTATGGTGTATTTTGTCTCTGTTTATACGTTATGGTGTATTTTGTCTCTGTTTATACGTTATGGTGTATTTTGTCTTTGTTTATACGTTATGGTGTATTTTGTCTTTGTGTTTAGCGTTATGGTGTATTTTGTCTCTGTTTATACGTTATGGTGTATTTTGTCTCTGTTTATACGTTATGGTGTATTTTGTCTCTGTTTATACGTTATGGTGTATTTTGTCTTTGTTTATACGTTATTGTGTATTTTGTCTCTGTTTATACGTTATGGTATATTTTGTCTCTGTTTATACGTTATGGTGTATTTGGTCTCTGTTGATACGTTATCGTGTATTTTGTCTCTGTTTATACGTTATGGTGTATTTTGTCTCTGTTTATACGTTATGGTGTATTTGGTCTCTGTTGATACGTTATGGTGTATTTGGTCTCTGTTGATACGTTATGGTGTATTTTGTCTCTGTTTATACGTTATGGTGTATTTGGTCTCTGTTGATACGTTATGGTGTATTTGGTATTCATTTTTGACATTGTGATATTATTTGTCTTCGTAATGTGATGTCTTATTTGGTCTGAAATATTATTTTGGAGGGAAATTATATCTTAAATTTAGAATGTTGATTTGACT